GAATTCATTAACAATAAGATTAAGCGAATAAAACATATATGAATGTTTATAAGGTTTTTTAACTTTAGTTGATAAAATGGAAGAAGCTGATTTAAAAAATTCATCTTATTAAAAATTTATAGAAATATTTACAGAAAATCTATAATTTATTTCCGATCCGTCTCTTTTGGTATTAGTTGGCAAATTTGGTGATTTATATTGTATTACTAACCCTTAATTTTGGGAAAATTTTGAAAGGAAATTATCTACAAAATTAGAGTTATTATAAAGGAAAGAACTAATTTAAATAATGGAAAATTTTTCTAATTAAAAAGAAGGTTCAGAATTTTTATTTGATAAAGTGGAATAAATATTCTTACCTTGTATATAAGATTTAGATATTTCTGAACTCACGAATATATCGAAAATTTATTTCAATATAAAAAGAGGAACTAAGGAATTCTTTAATTAAGTAGTTTCAGAAATATATAAAAAATTATAAAATGCGAATCCATATGAATTAGCGACAATAATGAAAGTCTATAAATTATAACCAAACGCAACTTAATTAATAACTAAAATTGAAGTTTGTGTACTTTTAAAAATTTAATAATTCGATTTTGTAAGTGCTTGTATTATAGGAAGTGGATTCGAATTCAATACAGGCTCTAAGAAACTGTTCTAATAACTAGAAAATATAGTTTTATAGAAAATTAACTAAAATACATAGATTAATTTAGATGACTTTAGATTAATAATGGAAGGATTTTTTTATAATTATAAAGCTAGCAAATAATTATTTTAGGCTATCTAAAATTAATTTGTGGGATTTTTATTATAATTAAATAGTTTTGAAGTAGCTAAAATTGCTAAATCATTATATATTTTAGAATTTGATGATTAAAATATTAATAGAGAATACGAAAATAGAATTATTTACATTTTAGAAGGTATAGATGAAATTAGTGTAGAAGAAATTGTTGAAATTGCAAAAAGTTATAATATAACTAGGGCTGGATCGAGAAAATTGTATAAATTATTAGAAATGGTTATTATTCATAGATGGGAATAAATTATTAAAAATACAGCAGCGGCTAAATAACTTTATATTTATTATAATAAAAGTAATTTATGTTCAGATAAATTAATGACTCATTTTTCTCTTATTGATAAAATTAATTAATGAATGAATATATATATATATATATATATTTAGTATTTATTAATTGAGAAATATATATTAATTATCTTTTTTGGAAAAGAAAAAAAGAAGAAAAAGATATTTTGTGTTTAAACTATGTTTTTGTTGCTGTTGTTTTTTTTTATAAAATACTAAAAATTAATAATCTTTTTAATTTTTTTCTATTATTAAAATTGGTATAAATAAAATATTTTTATTTTTTCTCGAAAAAAAGAAAAAAATATAATATTTTATATATTTATTATTTATTTTTTTAAATATTTTTTAGATATAATTTTTTTTTAAAATAAAATAAAATAAATAAATATAATTTTTAAATAATTTTTCTATTTAATTTAATTTAAAAATATTAATATTTATTAAAAAAAAAAAAATCTATATTTTCTTATATAAATAATTTAAATTTTTATTTATTTTAAATTTGTTTGATTAATAAAAATGAATGAAAAACTAAACCTTTAATAAAAAGATTAAGACTAAAGCATAATAGCAACTAAAAATATAAAATAAAACGATAATATATATGCATTAGAACAAGAATTAAATAATTACATATAAAAAACTAAAAACTTAAAATTAAATACATTCAGTAACGAAAAAACAATTAATTCTAATTCTTTTTAAGAAGAAATCGATAAGCAAAAAAATCTATTTTCGAATTCAAACATAAAATAAGTTTTAAATTAAACAATAAACGAAAATAATTATAGTTTTTCAAATAGTAATGTAAAAAATAACTACGAATTAGAAAACGAAATACTTTAATTATAAAATAGACTAATTAATATTGATGGAAATGCCTAATAATTTTCTACTAATAAAATTGAAAGCGAAGAATTACAAGATACATAATTTGAAATTTAAACTTCAAATTAAAAAAGTTGTAATAAATAAGAAAATATTTTGAATAAATTATAAAAAATGGAAGAATTATACAAAAGTCGTACTTAAATTTTAGAAGAAAGAATTAATTTTTTAGAAGATGATAATTTAAAATTATCTAAAGAAAATAAAGAACTTTAAGATAAGTTATATAAATAAAACATTGAATTAATTGAAAAAAATCAAACTGAAAATAAATTAATTAATTAATTAAAAGAAGAAAAAAATAAACTTTAATAAATTCTTAACTAATATATGTATTTTTTATTATTTTATTTTTAATAAGAACTTCTTTTTTTTTTTTTTAATAGTTTTTATAAAAAAATAGAAATTAAGAATAAGAAAATTAAAAAAAATATTTAAATAATAATGATATTAAATCTGATAGAAAAGGCAGTCTTTCATCAAATACATTACAATATTAATAAATTGATAATAATATTAATAATAGTGAAAGCAAAGAAAATATAAATTAACTTTATTAAAATATTTTTTAAAAGAATTCTGATGTAGTACATAAAAACAAAGTAAATAACAAAGAAAATAATAAATAAAATAAATTGAAAAAGCCCCCTTTATAAAAAAAATAAACTTTAAATAAAAAAACTAATAGTTAATAAATTAAATCTAAAACAGATTTAAGTTTTGTAGAAACTTTTAATAAAAAAGTTAAAAAATTAAAATAGATGCTTGAAATGCAAAAAAAAATCATATAAGAAGAATGCTAGACTAAGAAAAATAATTCCTCTTAAAAAGATTAATAAAAAAAAATACCAAAAGCATTAAACGGTCATAATCTTTTTAAATTAATAAATGATTTAATTTTATAATAATAATATTTTTTGTTTTGTTTTTTGTTTGAATTTTTTTCCCTTTTAATAAATTTATTTTTTGCTTTTATTTATATTTTTTCTATTTTGAAAAATAAAAATAATAATTAATACATTTTTTTTTTGTTTAAATGAAAAAAAATAAATAACAATATACAAATGAAATATAAAAGAAAAAAATACAATAAAATATAGATGATCTAAAATACATACCAGAAGAAAACATGATAGATTTTTTAAAATAATATAAACTAATAGAATAAAAAATATATCTATCAAAAAAAAATCAATAAAAGAAAATATTAAATCTTTAAAAAAATCCTCCGAAAATTTAACTAATAAACATAAAATAGTTTAAATATAACGATATTTTTTAGAATGTGTATTAGTATTTAAATTTTAATCAAATTTTAAATTTAAGATTGGTTAATAGTTTTTTTAATAAAGACCTTTAAAAATATTATAATTAAAAAAAAATAGAAGAAAATTATATAAAAATAAATAAAATAAAGGAAAAAATTAAATATAATGAAAAATAAAATGAAGAAATTGAAAACAATAAATGTTTGATTTTTTAAAAAATAACAAATTTTGAATTTTTTATGTTTATTTCAAATTTAGAAGAAAAAAAAATCAATAAATATGATAAAATTTTACTTTGTCTTTTTTTCTAATTTATAAAAAATAAAAAATCTCTAATTAATAGTATTGATATATTACTTTATACCTAAAGTTAAAATATTAATTTACTTTTTTAAAATATTACTAAAGAATCTTTTACTTGTCCAGAATTTATTTAAGAATTAATACATTTTTTTAGATTTAATTATTAAATAATACTAAAATATATTCATTAACTACAAATTTTTTTTTTAGATGAGAACTTTTTTACCTAAATAGAATAATATTTGCCTTATTCTAATTAATTAAGTAATACTTTTATGCAAAATATTCATTTTTGGATTGAAATTTAATTAAATTTTAATAGAAATTCAAGAAAATATTAAAATATTGAAAACTTTTAATAATAAATAAATTTTATAAACCATTCATTTGATATTATAAAATATATTCTATAATAATGAAAAAATTAACAATTTTAATTTTATTTTATTTTTTATTTTATTTTTTTTAGAAAAACATAATAATTATAAATTAAAAATAAATCATAATATTAATATATTTAAATATTAACTTAATATATTCAAAAAAAACATATACAAATATATTAATTGTTGAAATAAATTTAACCTATAATCATTTCTAACAAAAAATTAACTCGATTAATTTTTTTTAACAACTCAATAATATAATATTATAAAACCTAAAAAAAAAAAAAATAAAAAAAAAGAAGAAAAAAAAATATATATATTTATTTTTCTCAAGACTTAAATAAAAAAAATAGATGAAATCATAATTTATTAACTTAATAGTATTATAATCATTAATATATTGTATATAAGCCACTGAATTTTTAGATTATACAATAGATCATTTTTATAATTGTAATAAATTCGACTATACAATACAAGAAAAAAAGAAGATACTAATTCTTCATTAAATAGATAAATATATGTACGCAATAATTTGCCCAATAACCATAATAGCAACAGCTTTTATTATAATTACATTTATAAAATATCCAGGTATAAGGAATCCACCGGGGGATATACTTTTAGGAATTTCTATATCCGAATTAATGTTAAATATTCATTGGTTTGCAAGTGCTATAAATGCATTTGTATATAATGGTTAAACTGACGAAAGTAACTATTTTTGTAGATTTAATTCCATATTTAGTATTCCAGCTGGAGTTTTAGATTATGTCTATAATTTATTTTTAGTTATATATATATGGATTTCAATTAAAAAAGCACTAAGAGGTTGGGCTATAAATATGAAGTTAGTGCATATTGGTATTATAGGTTTTTCTATTTTGATTTTTATTTATCTGGAAATAATGAAAAAAACTGGATTGAATATATATGGGACATGTAGTTATAGTGTAAATAATAATTTTTTTTATTATGGAATTTTAATAGCTATTTTATATATCATTTTAAGCATTTTTTTAATAAAAAAATTTAAACAATGGAGACCTGAAAAAGATGTTTCATTTAAAAAATAATAATTTTATTAATATTATTTATAATGTAATTATTTGCTGTTGTATATATTTTGTACTCGCCGTGTTAAATTTGCTTTCCGGAGTTGCCTGTAAACATACAGAAAATCCTGGTTTTAGTATAGTTTTGACTTTAACTAATTTTTTAAAATTACTTTCGCCAGTTATTTTGAGTATTTTGAGATATAAAGATCCTATTTTAAAAAATAAAATAAAATAAATATTTAAAAGTAGATTTAATTAATCTTGTTAAATTATTGATTCTAATAATTAAGCTTTATTAAACTAAGAAAATTGTAAATATATTAAAAACAAAACAAAAATATATTAAAAGTATATATATATGTATTTTTTTTTTGTTAAAAAAATAAAAAACCAAATAGTTAATAATGAATAATGGCTTACAAATTTATAATTATAAATAAGAGGTGAATATACAAAATAAATAGTAAAAGGAATTTATAAATAAATATAAGATGATAGTAACAAAAAAATATAAATATTTTTTATTTTTAAACAAAAAAAAACAAAAAAAAGAAAATTTTGATTAATAATATTAAGAATTTAATGAAAAAGATTATAAAGAAATAAACGAAACAATAATATCTAATAATTAAATTGATATATAATAATGTAATGATTAAATATAAAATTTAAAGATGTTAACTTATGCACATTAAGTTTTTAAATTATTAAGATAATAAGATTAATCAATGATTGATTTTGAAAAATCTTTAAACTTAGAAAATAATATACAATAAATTATAAATACAATATATAAACAAGGAGATGGAGGAAAATCAGGAGAATTCTTCTTTTATTCATATGATAATAAAACAATAATAAAAACAATATAAAAATCGGAACTAATAACTTATATTGAAAAACTACCTAAATTTATATAACATTATAAAACTAACCCTAATTCTTTAATATCTAAAATTTATGGGGTATATACTTTCCATAATATGACTGCTGATGATATAGAATTACATGTTATAGTATAAAGAAATATTTCAGGTATTTATATAAATATTTATTTAGATTATAATTATATAAATATATATATAGGAGTTGAAAAAAAATATGTAGTTAGAACATATGATTTAAAAGGAAGTAGTTATAATAGAGATGTTTTAAGATCAAAGAATTAATTTTAAGATTTGAGTTAAATAACTTTAAAAGATAAGGACTTTTATGAAATTGAAAGAAACATTTCAATTAATTAAGATCTTTCAATTGAAATTAGCACGTTTTTAGAATTTGATACTAGTTTTTTGGAAAATTAAGGGTTTATTGATTATAGTTTACTAGTTATTAAGTGTGACTGGAAATAAAAATATGAAAATGATTTAAATAATAATAATATTAATACAATTGATACTTAAGACTAATTTAATTAAAACTTAAACGATTATGTTAATAGTAAATTTAGTAAAGGTTATTATTATTTAAAATCAGATAATACTTCAGGAATATATTATCATATTGGAATTATTGATTACTTACAATAATGGACTTTAAATAAAAAATTAGAAAGATGTTTCAAAAATTGTTTTAAAAAAGTAAATAATTCAGCTTAGCCACCAAAATATTATTCAAAAAGATTTATTAATGAAGTAATTAGAAGAATATTTATTTGATAAGTTACAATTTATATATTAAATTAGTATTTTTTTAATAAAATTAAAAATATTAAAATATTTAATAAAATTTTATTTTTAATTTTTTATAATATTTTTTATTTTATGCAAAATGATATTTTTTTCGCGCTTTAAAAAAAAATCAAATAGTTTTCAATAGAGATTAAAAATATTTGAATCATTTATTTTCTTTGTAACTATAATTAATTAAATAAAAATATTATATATTTCATAAAAAAAATAAGAATAAATAAAAAAAAGTTTTAAATATAAACAAAAAAGAAGACAATATATTCAAATGGAATCAATAAATTTATATGATCCTTAAACATAATAATAGGGAATAAACTTATTAATATTAAAAGAATTTCAAAACGATATAAATAAATTTTTTATTTATTTCAATAATCCAGATTATCCAATTAATATGTAGTAATCATTTTCTGAAAATGAATAACAAATTTTATATTAATCTTTGTATAAATTATTTAAGCATAAAAAAGAATATAAAACAGAAGGTTTATGGGGATTAATAAGTCTTAATATATTTGATAGAAATGGCTTATAGTGTTACTCATATTATTTAAAATTAAGACAATAATTAATTGATTCTTATAATAATATTTAACTTTTAAATTATTGCTAAGAAAATGAAGAAGAACATTTTAAGGATTTTATTATAAATAAAGTATAATAAATTCATTAAAAATTGGATTAAGAATTGATTTAATTTTTCTTTGATATTGTAAAATTTTAATTTAAAATGTTTTTTATTATCATTATATAAATAGTTTGGAATAAATTACGATAATTTAATAAATAGAACGCAATAAAAAATTAATATACTTTTAAAAAAATATGAATAAAATTAACGTAAATAATAAATATATATATGTGTATATTATTATAAAAAAAAATATATAAATATTTAAAAATAAATACAGTTGAAATATCTAATAACTTAAGTATTGATTTAATAAAAATAAACATTTAAAGATTAGAACAAAAGAAATGTAAAAAACTAAAAAGAAAATTAGTAAAAAAATCAGAAAATTAAATAAAATTTAAACACGATTTTGAAAAATTAACAAAAGAAGATATATATTAAAAAAAAGCGATTTTTGATTAGGATTTCGAATCTGATTATGAAATTTAATTAAAGGATAGTTCAAATTTTTATGATGATGATACTTTAAATTCTATTTTTGGATTTTTTAAATAATATCGTTCCGAAAATGATATTGATCTTGATATTAATAATGAAGATTAGAATTCTAATATTAAAAATATAAAATCAATATAATAATTCTAGTTTATTGACTAATCATAAATTATTAATGTAAGAGACTAATCATAAATTACTGAAATAAAAGACTAAAACTATTTGGAAGCTAAAAATAATTTTAAAAGAAGAAAAATAATACATGAAGAATAATTAAATTTTACCGAATTTTAATATACTCAAAAGAAACAAAAATTCCCATAAAGAAGAATCAAAACTTTAAAAGAAAAGAAAAAAAAATTAGTCAATATTAAAAATAATTAATTTAATAAAAAGATAAAAATTATTAAAAAAGAAACTAATAAAAAGTGCAATAAAAAATAGATTAAAAAATTCAATAATAGTAAAGCATACTTTCTTTAAATAATACCCAAAACGAAACTTAAACTAATATATTATAAGGTCTAAATATTTTAGGAAATTATCAAAAAATAGAAGTAGAAGAAGACTTTGAAGCTATATTAAACAAAAAGTAAAATATATATAAGCATATAGTTCTTATAAATATAATAAACAAATAAAAGATTTAAATAACAAAAAAAATTAACTGAAATAATAAAAAATGAAAACAAGTTAAAATAAATAATATAGGAAACTGAATAAATACTTATAAATTAATAATTCTAAAATATAAATGCATTACATATAGAATATCAATAATATAATATTTATTAATAAAACAAATTAAATTATATTAATATTGATTAATTATGTGATTATTTATATTTAATAAATAAATAAAGTTATACTGATAAATAATCTTTGAATATTTAAATATTTGATTTAGAATTATTATAATAATATGATGAATATTAAATAACAGATGAATAAAAATATAAACTAAAACATTTAATGATAAGTATTTTAAAAAATTAAGAATTTTTAAATAATATTAGTTTTCAATTTTTTCAAAGTTTAATGCAAGTTTTTTTATTTATTTCTTTCAATTTAAAAAATTAACAATTTGATGAAATTTTTATAAAATTTTTACAAATTAATTTTGCTTGCAATATTTAAAAATATAGTTCAAATTTTTTTTAAGTTTTTATAAAAAATTAAGCAAAAAAAAAAATTAATAATGATAATAATAATTTATAATAAATATAATTGAAATTTAAAAACACGAAAATCGAATAAAATTAATAATTTTTATTATAATTAGAAGTTTAATAAAATAATTAAAATTAAATCGAATTCGACCAATAATATTTTCAATTAATGGAAAATTTAATAATAATGTACTTTGAATTAATTAACTTATTTTAAAAAGAAATCGATTATTCATTTATTATTGATTCTATTTAACATTCTCAAAATATTTCTATTTTAGAAGAATTAGAAAAAATAGAAGATTCAGTAATAATTTAAAGACTTTGTTTAACTGAAAAAAGCTTATTTTATAGTTTAAATATAGATAAATTGAATATGCAAATAATTTTCATTGCTTAAATGTTACAATTAGAAATAGGAAATTTAAAAAAAGATTAATAACTATAAATTATATAAAGCATTAAAAATAAAAGTGTAGAAACATTATTAAAATAGAATTCAATTTATTCATTTTATTTAATTAATAATATTTTAGATTAAAAACAAAAAATTAATTCCAAAAATATTTAATTGAAAATAATACTTAAAACCAATAATAATTCATTCATATATTAAAAATTATAGAAACTTAATAAAATTTAAACTTAGATATTTATAAATTATTATATGAGAAAATTTAGAATTCTCTAATATAAAAAAAAGAAGAGAATATTTATTTAATTGAATTTCCAGCCAAATTTTTAATTAATTTTTTTTCCTAAAACTTCCCTAATGATGTTAATAGCTAAAGTAGAATTCTTAGTAAGGTCTTATCTTTAATAAAAACACATGAAGAACCTATAAATATGAATTTACTAAAAATAGATTTATTTATAATTAAAATTTTATTATAATAGTACGATTTTAGTAACAAAAAAATTTCAGATTTTTTAATAAAAAAATGCAATTAAATTATTAAAATATAAGAAAACACAACAACAGAAATAAAAATAAAAATTTTAAATGAATTAGATTAAAAGCTAGTATTTTTAGTATATTAAAATTACGAAAGTTAGGAAATTTAAAAAACACCATAAAACATATTATAAAATTATCTATAAAAAATAAAATTTCTGTAATAAAAATACTTTGATAATTATAAAAATATTTCTTAAACTAAAAATAATAATAATAGTAATAATAATAATAACAACAATAATAATAATAATAACAATAATAATAGTAATAATAATAATAACAATAATATTAATAATGATAATAATATTATAAATAAATAATGTGTAGTTTATAAATATTAAGATATTTTTAATAATATAAATTAATGTCTAGAACAATAGTTTGACTTTATAACAAATTTCATATAAATTAATAAATATTTTCTAATTGAATATTCCTAGTTATTTTCCGAATATTAATTTTTTGATAAATATTTTTCTTTTTAAATGCCTGATACTAATTTAAGAATAAAATATTTTAATTTAATTTACTAAATATATAACTATTCTTAACATTTTAAATATTATTTTACATAGTTTTCGAATATCTAATATCAAGATTAAATTCAATAATTAACAACCATAAATCACAATTATAATACAGAAATCAAATAATAATCAGAAAATAGTGATGATGAATCTAGTAATACTTCAATGATTTAACTCGCTCTAAAACTCATTTAAGAATAAAAATAATAAAAAAAAATTGAAGAATAAGTAACAGAAAATTCTAAATAAATATAAGGAAATTTAAAAATATTTAACCTAAATTTGCTCAAGAAAATAAATGAATCTTTAATAGAAATTAACATAATTTTAAATAAGAAAAACGAAAATTAAATTCAATTAGAAACAATTATTCTATTAATTAAAATCTTAGGATAAGTCACTATGTAAGAATTTTTATAAAAATAAATTAGTGGATATTAATACATTTTTAACATATTTAGAGAGAAATATGTCCCTTAATTATTTAATTATTTTATTTAATTAAAAAAAAATATGGGATATAATATTTTTAAAGTTTAATTTATATTTTTAAAATAATTTTTTTCTAATTAACTATGTTAGATTACAGATATTTCTTTTGAAAACTAAAAAGAGATGTTCAAGTTTACTTTTAAAAGTCTTTTTTTTACACTTTTTATAGATTTCGAGAGTTATAATATTTAAGAATATATAGATTATATAAATAATGTAAAGTATTTTTTTTCAAATTCTTAACAAATATAATGGATAAATTAAATATTTAATATAAGCTAAATAAGAAAAGAAGAATTACATGTATTATATATTCTAAAGGTAATAGTTAAAAATTTAAAATAAGCATTTATTGAAAAATCTGAATTTTATTAAATGTTTAAGTAATATATTATTGAAGAAATACTGAAAAGAATAAGAATCTTAAATTAATAAATATATACATAGTAATAGTTTACATTAGAATTATTTAATAGAAATATATATTTAATTAAAATATTTTACTTCTTTGATTATTTTTAAAATGATAATAATTGTAATAGTATTTAAATATAAAGCATAAACTTTCAGTTAAATTAAATTTGGGATTAATTATTCTCTAATTAATAATCAATTACTAATTTAAAAATAGTTTATTTTAAATTATGTAATCCTTTCTTCACTTTATATAATACAAAAAAATTAGACTTTCATTTAATTGTAAAAATTGCAATTTTTCAATAAAAAGAATAATTTATTTTAGATTTGTTAAAATTTATTATCAATGAAGTATTATAAATAGCAGAAGCCTATTGTATTTTTAATAAAATAAATAAATAATAATTATATTATGAAAGACTAATTTAGATACTTACATAATACTTAAATAAATAAAATAATTAATAGGTTCAAAATTAAAGTAATTCATAATTAGAGTTAGATTTTAAAGTTTTATAATAATTTTTATTTTGTTTTTATGAATTACCTGAATTAAAACCTAAAAACAAAGAATTTATAAAAAACTATTTATATTATTAAGAAAAAATTTATAAAGAAATTTTAAATTTTGGAAATTCATAAAACTCAATTCAAAATGCTTTATTAATTTTAAGTTAGTTTTTATTAATTATTTAAAAAATATCTTAAATAGAAAATTATACAAATATTATTAATGATATATATATTTAAACTGTAAATTTAGTTATTTAAAATGTTTTTGATTTCCGTTTTCATAATTTCGATTAAAACTAAATTTTATTATTAACTTTAATAATAATTATTAAAGATATTAATAAAGAAAATATTTTGACACACAGCCTCAATTAATAGTTTTTATAAAATTTATATAATAAATGTTGGTAATTTTTTTCTAATTTATTAATCTAAATTACTTTAAATTTTGATTAGAATATAATGTAAAATTATTAGTTTTTTTTGTTTTTTTGTTTAAATTTATTATTATAGTTAAAAATTAAAGGTTAATGAAAATAAATACTACAATTTTATATAAAATTTTAATAATAAACAAAAAATTAAAAAAGAAAATTTAGTTTAAGTAATTAATATACATATATTATAATTTTTTTATTTTAAGAATATTTTTTAATATAGAATACTAAATTTTTAAAAATATTAGCAAATGAAGTTGATAATTTATCCTTTTAATAAAATTAATAAGGACTTAATAATATATTTAAATCGTTCTTCTCCGACATTTTAGAAATATTAAATGAAAAATAAAATGTATTAATTCAAACTGAAAGTATTTAAGAATACTAAGAAATAAAATTATTTTTATAAAATATTTAATGATAAAAAAAGAATAATATTTCTTATAATATTATAGTGTCATTTATATATAATATAACAAAATTAAAAAAAATATTGATAAAAATTTAAAAACAAAAATTCAATATGATGGTAACACAATAAATTACAAATTCTAAAAACTTTTCACATAACTTTAATAATATAACCTCTCAAACGAAATTTTGCAATAAATTTAAAGCACAAGAAAAAAGACTATGGATAGCTCATATTAAAGATGGATTGCCTCATAAAAAATTGAGTATTCTATTTATTCTTTCTAATGAGTTTAAAATAACATAAGAATAATTATTTTAAAGATTTTACCGAATTTTAAAATCAAATTAGATCAATTTAAAAACTTTGTACATATGAAAAAAAAAAAAAAATGTAATGTGGTTAAATCTGGAATATAATAATAATAAATTCAAACAATATAAAGTCAAATTTAGAAAGGTAAAACTAATTGATTATTTTTGCAAAAACGAAGATAGATATGTTCCTTTAACTTGTGGCTAACTCTAAACTTTAGAAATAGACTAAAATTTAAAGAATTTCTAAAAAGATTTAAAATCAATTAAGTTTTATCTATTATTAAATTTATTTAATAAGTAGAAATGGATAAAATGCCTTCTTTTTATTTGATGAATTAGTCAAATTTTAAAAAAAAATAGTAAATGGTTAAATATTAATTATAATGAGGTTATATATTTTTAGTTATTAGTATTTGAAAATTTATCAAACTTTTTTTTAAAAAAAAAAAATCATATTTAATAGTTTTTTTAGTTTTTTTTTTTTTTTTTTTTTTTTTGTCAAATTTTATTAATATATATATATAATTAAAATAAAAATTATTTTTAATTATTATTAATAAATAAAAGAGTTTAATATTTTATTTATCAATCTTTTATTTCATTTATTTCCTCCATATAAGAATAATCTTGTTTTTATTCATCTTCATCTTCTTTTATTAAATTATCGATTTCTTGTTATTTGGATTTATTCATATCTAATCTTTTTTAATAAATTTAATCTAATTACTCCTGTTTTTGTTATATTTCAAATTTTCTTTTTTTTATATAATCTTGTATATGAAAAGTATTTGATTCATGATTAGGTAAAGGACGACTAGCCTTTTAATAAAAAGTATCTATGCGTTTAGCATGCATTTAGGCATAAGAAACAATCTCTTCAGTATTTTCTTTCATTGCCTTTTTTATTTTATTTTTTAAATATATAAAACATAAAATTTACTTTTATTGTTTTTTCTCTTTATTTTTGTATGATTTATTCGGTTTTTTCTGACAATTCTTTAATTCCTTAACTCTTTTTTTAATTATTAGAAATTATATATATTTTTTAATTGAATATATTTAAAATAATAAAACTTCAATTTCATCAGTTGTTGAAATATTTTTAAACTTTTATTTTATTATGTTTAAATCCTATTTTTCTTAAAAAACAGCTTCTCTTTCAACTTTTTCAATATATCTTTGCTCTTTTTCTGTTATATTTTATGGAATAACAGTATTATTTATTTATTATACTGAATTAAAATAATTCTCATATTAGGTTGGAAAACTTTTTTTTAACAAAAATATTAAAATAATATTTTATATAGTAAAATATTATAAGATAATTAATACATTCCTAATATTCTAAACTTAACATCTGTTGTTAATTCTTAGTCATTTAATACTTCTAAATATTGCAAATTCTAAACCAATTCCTTTTTATAATCAGTATTCTTTAAATTATAAATATATATACATATAAGCTTCTTTATATTAAAAATACTTTTATTGGATTTTCATCTAAATTAATATATTCTAATTCTTAAGGTATTTCTTCAATGTTAAATTCTTTGATTTAATTTGCATTCAATTTTAAATAAGATAATTTTTTCAAATTTTTTATATTTTCAATTTATTTAATCTAATTATTATTTAATGCTAAATACTCTAAATTTACTAAGCTATCTAAATTTTCTATTATTGATATATTATTCTTTTTTTTTGTTTATTAAAATAAAAAAATTCATTAAAAGTCATTTATTTGTATTACTCTTTAAAGATATAGTACTTATAAATTAGTATAAATATCAAGTTTTTCAATTTTATCTTTATATTAAATATAATAAATTTAAATTAATTGACTATTTTAGTTTTTTTTACTTATATTTAACCATTCAAGATGAATCATTTTTAAATTTATGAGTATTTCATATCTTTATTTATTTATTTTATTAAAAAAAAAAAAATAAAAATTTACTTTTCATCTTCAGTTAAATTTTTTTAAACTTCAGAATCTATACTATTTTTTACAATTAAAAATACTGAAATTTAATTAACGGAATTTTCTTTGAACTTTTAATAAAAATTAAAATTTTTTTACGATTAAAATAAAATACAAATTCATTTATTTTTATTATAAATTTTTACAATATTTAATTTTGATTCTTTTTAAATATAATTATCATCTATTTATTCTAGTGTAATTTCTTCTCTTTCTATCATTTCCTATTTGATTTTTTAGGCTATTTCATCGATTTCTTTATTTGATAAATTTATTTCTTATTTTACCCCGTTGACAATAACTTTGTTAATCATAAAAATAAATTTAAAATTGTATAACTTTATAAAATGTTTAATTTAATTTTTTTTTTTTTTTAAATTAAAAAATAATAAATAAAAAAATTAATTTTTTTTTTTTATAAAAATAATAATTTTTATTGAGATAATGAATTTTTTTTTATCTAATTTCCATTATTTTTTATTATTTTATATTTAAAAAACAGCTATAAATAAAAACTATATTTTATTAAATTAAATTAAAATATTTTTTGCTTAGAAACTTGAATTTATTTTAAAATTTAAGTTTAAAAGTTAAACAAAAATTAATTTATTCTTTTTTTTATTAAAAAGAGAATTAAAAAAATATATAATATTTTATAAATCACTCACTATCTTAAATATATCCAAAACCTTTTTAAAATATTTTCTTTCCTTTTTATCAATACAGTTAATTTTATTTTTTAATTTATAATTAAGCTTTTTAATCACTTTTAATTTATTTTTCCAGCATTGTATTATAATCTTGTAAAAAAATAAAAATAGTTAAATATATATATTACTTTCTTGTTTGTTTTTATTTGAATCATTATTTTTTATATCCAATTTTTATTTATCTAAAAAAAAAAAAAAAAAAAAAATTAGAAAAAAAAACACAAAAAATCATCGAAAAATAAAAAAAAATACTTTTAAATAATTTATTTTAATTTTCAACTTTTTACTATTAATTATTTGATTCTTATATTTGTATTTATTATTATTATTAAACTTATTAATTTTTTCCTTCATTTTTTCATCTTTTTGCCCATCGCTTTTTCCACTACTGAAATCAAAAATATTTTTATAGTCAATATCTTATAATTCATCAGTTCCTTTTTAAATTGTTCTTCCGATACCATTAGCTGCATCACCTAAATTATTTGAAACATTAGATATACCATCTCCTAAATCACTTGCAGCCTTTCCAATTTTTTCTACTGCGTCTCCCAAATCGATAGTAGCATCTCCTACACCATCTCCTAAATTTTCACCTGCTTTACCTACTGATTCAACTCCTATACCTAAATTTGAACCTACATTACCTATTCCATGCAAACCATACATTATGGCCTCACCTATATTTTATGCAACATTAAAATCTTCAGAAATATATGGCTAATTTTATTGTATTTCTTATCCTACAATATCATCATCGTGTATTTGGTTTTTTTTGTACGAGAAGCTATTATTATATTCGTGAATATTAAAAATATTAATATTATTAAAAATTTCTTTTACATTATTTATTTTTTAAGAAAATTAAAAAATAAATGTTATTATAATAAAAAAAAATATTTTTTTACAAAAGTATTTTATATATTATAAATTGTTATATTCAATGTTTTTTTAATATTTTCTAATATTTTTATTTTAAATTTTTTGTAATTTAAAAACGTTAAATAAAAAAAAAAATTTAAATTAGAGAAGAATATTTAATATATAAATTATTAATTAAATAAATATAAAGCATGTTATAAAAATAAATAGTATAATATTTTAGATATATAAATTAATATAAAATAAAAAATATTAAAATAAAAAAAAAATCAATTTAATAAAAAAAAAAATGAATTATGTTATAAAAATATAAAAAATGAATATAAAAAAAAAAAATTATATAATTAAAATATATAAAAAATAATTTTTAAATTACATTATAATAAAAATATATAATTATTAAAATTAATATTATTTTATTTTTATATAATATTTTTATGATTATTATTATTATTATTATTATTATTATTATCATTATTATTATTACTATTTTTATTATTATTATTTTTATTTATTTTTTTTTATAATTATTAATATTTCTTTTTTTTTTATCAAATATATATATATTTTATTTTATTTTATTTTATTTATTTTTTAGAAATTATATTTAATTTATTTATTTTTATTTAAATATCTCATATTTTTAATTAATTTTTTTTATATTACTTTTTTATATTATTTATAATCTTAAATATTTTTTTATTTAACTTTTATTTTTATATTAAATTTTATAATTAATTTATATTAAAAGAATTTAATTTTCATACTACAATACATGAATATTATTTTTTCTAATTTTTATATTTTTTTATATTTTGCATTTCTTTTATTTATATTTAAATTTTTTAATTTTTAATCCTGATTTTGTTATTTATTAATTTTTTTATTTTTGTTTTTTTTTTAGATATACATTAAATATTTTATTATTTAAGAGAATATCTATGTATTATACTCAAAAAAAAAATTTATATATTATTTTATTATTATTTTATATCTTTTAAACTATATATCAATAATGTTTTAAAATAAAATTTATTATTTTAGTTTTTGATATTCATTTTTTTATCCAATACTATTATAAAATATTTTTTTTTAAATTTATCATTTATTTTTAACCTAAATTATATTTATTTATATATATTTATAGTTTTCTATCTATTATTTTTATTTATTATTTTTTATTTTTTTACTTTAAATAAAAATAAATGCATTTATCTATTTTTATCAACTATTTTTTGATTATTAATTAAATTTTTTTATATAAAAACATAGAAAAAATAAATAAAAGTATTAATAAATGATATATTAATTTTTTATTAAAAAATTAGTTAATCTACTTTTAAATAAATAATTTAATTTATAAACTTTTACTTATAAATATAATTTATTTTAATATAATTTTAAGAATTTTTTTTATTTATATATTTATATAACTATATACTTTATATTTTTTTTAAAAAAATCTTTTATATTATTTATTTTATTTTTTATAGATTCTATTTTTAATTTTAATTTCATTTTTGTTTTGTTTTAGTTTTAGTTATTTCACCAGCTAAATATTAACTTCTTTAATAATTCAATTATAAAATTATAGAATAAATATTTAACAAAAGCATATAATAATATTTTCGGAAGATTATTGATTTTTTTAATAATTTTAATCTTTTTTTAAATTATTTATTTTATAAATAAATTATAATTATCTTTTTAAGTAAAAATTAAATAATAATCTTATATTTATTAATTTATATAAAATATTTAAAAAGAAAATAATTTAATTTAATAATTAATTTTTTTTTATATAATTTATAACATTGTATCACATAAGTATATGTATTATATGAAGTGATAAAGATAGTAAAAATATTTTTAAAATTTAAAAATATTTACTATAAATGATTTTATTTTAAATAAATACTAAGTACTTTTTACTATAAATATAATAAATAAACTTAAAAATTCAATATATTTTTTTAATAAATAATTAAAAAATTATATATTTTTAATCAGCACATCGCTAATAAAAATTAATATTCAATTTATTAAATGTTTATAAAATAAAATAGAATTATATAATATTAAAAAATTATTAAGTTTATTAATTATTTAAAAGATAATAAGTAAGTAATTTAACAAAATAAATTAATTTTTTTTTTAAAAAAAATAATATATATAATATTAATAATTTAGATATGAAAAATAATATACATTTTTAATGCTTTTCTTATATATAAATAATTTATAAATTCTAAATTATTTATAATAAATAAAATTATAAAAAATTTATCTAATATTTTAATCAAAAATTCTTATAATTAAAGTTATTAAAAAAAAAATATATATAAGAAAATAAAAAAAAATGCGTTTATATTAAGTTATAAAATTAATTTTTTTTAAAAAAAAAATTATTTCCTTTATTTTCTTTTTTGATGTTCACATTTTATTCTCATCTTTATTTATACCTTGAACAGTTTTTCTTTAAATTTCAAGAATTTTTCTTTCATTAAAATCTCTTTTTTTTTATTTTGCTAAATATTCTTATAGTGTAATTTTTTTTTCCTATCCTTATTAAGTTTTTTCTTCTTTTCCGAATATTTCCTCAATTTCATCATCTAATTTATTTCTTCCATATCTAACATATAGTAATTCTAGAGTATCTTCAATAGTTATAGTTTTTTTTTAATTATTTTAATCACTATTTGTAGCCGTTGTATTAACCCCACTCCCAGAATTAGTATCACATTTTAAATACATTAAAAATTAAACTAAATTATAAAGATTTCTTGGTTCTAAGCCAGTAGTATCATGTCTACATCTTTTATACATCAAATAAAATTCATATTTGTCAATTTTTCCATCCAAATTTTCATCCACTTCCCATACCATTTATTCAATTTCCTATTTAGATGCATGATAATCCAATTCTTTTAAAACTAACTCAATATCCTGTGATGTAAAATATTATTTCCCCTTCTCTTCTTACTTATTTTCTTTCCCTTATTCATTATCTTATTGGAGCTAATTATTACTAATATTATTGTAACTGATATTGTTTTAGTTTTCTTTTTAAACGGAATTATTTTAGTTATTTTAGACACTATCAGTCATCATTCTAAGTTGATCAAAAACTTTTTGTAATTTACTGGTTTCTACTGCAGATATTTACATTTCATATACCAACTCTTCACTTGATTTTTCTTATTTCTTTAATTTTTAATCATTCTATAGTTTTGATTGATCACCCAAAATTGATTACTTATGCATTGTTGTAGAAGCGTTTAAAGTATTTAGCTATTAACTAGCGTTTTAATCTTTTATTGATGTTGATGCCATTTTACTTTTATTCATTTCTTTTTTTTTCTTTTTTTTTAATTTTTTCTTCTTGTACTTTTTATTTTTTAATTATTTTTATTATTATTTATTTAAGTTTCCTTTTTTATTATTTTTTATTTATAAAAAATTTTGATGTTATTGTTTTAGTTTTTTTTTTAAAAAAATTATAATAATTATTAAATACTTTTTTTTTTTAAAAAAAAAAAATTATATTTAATTTATAATAAATTAAATTAGTGAAATTTCTATATTTTTTTTAAAAAAAAAAAAAAATAAAAAAAATAATTTAAGAAAAAAAAAAAAATTTTACATATAAATTTATATTATATAATGATAGATAATTAAAAAATAAATATTATAATTTATATATTTTTAGTTTTTTTTTTTATCATTTAATCAAAATTATTCCATATCCAATTTAAATTCATTATCATAAGTATTAGTATTTTCTGTAATAGGTTATTTATTATAGTTATTATCAATTTTTAAATTTATATTATTAATTTAATTGAATTATTCGCCTTCAATTTAATATTTTTCATTCGCACTATTTTCAAAATTATAATCATTATAAATAGCATTAGATTATTTTAATTAATTTAAATTTTGATTAAAAAAGAAATTTTAAATTCCTTAAAAAGCTTAGTTTTATTAAGAGTTTTCCTATATTTTCTAAATACATTTTTATTATAAATTTACTTATTTATCTTTTGATTATTATTTTAAAAGTTTTAACTATTCCCTTACTTATGACGGTTTTTTAGTAATGGATTATGAATTTTATATAATTTATTATTATAATTCATCTTATATTATTTTTTATCCAATAATGTCTTAAGTTTCAATTTTTACATCTGATTTTTAAATCACAATATTAGCTTGTTTTTATTATTTTTGTAAAATTTAAAGTTACTTTTTTTGCTCTTTTTATTTTTTCTTTTCTTTTAAAAATTCTGTTTTTTTCAATTTTTCTAATTTTAATAAATCATCTTGTTCTACTTTTACATTTAAATTTTAGACTTTTTTATAAAAAATTAAAATAAAAAAAAATATATTTTATTTTACTTTAATTCTATAATTGCATTTTAAGTTTAAGTTAATCTATTTTTTATTTTTTTATATTTTTTAAAAAAATTAAAATAAAAGAATTCATATATATTTTAAATATTTAAAATTATTGCATTCTTTATTAAATAATTACTTTCCTACTTTTTTTGCTTCTTGATTAATAAATTTTAAGGCGTAGGTTAAGCCATATAGCTATTCATAAAATCTTCTTTCGTTACCCTGGCACCTGTTCTTTAATTAATAATTCTCTAAACAAGTAATTTCACTGTAGAGTGATCCATATTAAAAGCTCTTCCAACTCCTCTATAAGTTTAAACCCTTTCATATTCTTCATAAACTTTCCATTTTTCTTCAACAGTTAAATCTCTTATTCCTCTTTTTTTATCATTTTTAAGTTTATTTTTAACAATTTCTTATTTATCATTATTTTAATCTAAATTATTTAAATTATTATTGTTTTCTTCATTTTCTTGCTATTTAATCTATTATAAATCAACTTATTATTCTCGTTATTTTTTTTTTTTTTAGAATTTTTTTTTTATTTAATTATTATAAAAGTTAAAATGACTATTATTATTATAACTACTATTATGATTATTGTTATTATAGTTATTATTATGATAATAATTGTTATTAGGATTTTTATTATTTTTATTATAATAATTATTATTATTATTATTATTATTATTATTATTATTATTATTATTATTATTATTATTATTATTATTATAGTTATTATTATAAGTTAAAAGGATATGCTATTTATTATTCATGTTTCACGCAATTTTACGAATTATTATTTGTTATTATTTATTTTTAATCAAATATATCATTATGAAAACAATATTAAATTTTTTATTAATCTGCTTATTTTAATAACTAATCTTTAAAGTAATTTTAATTTGTTTATGTTTATATCTTTTATTCATTTTAATTAAAAAATTAATAATTAGTATCATCTTCATTATTATTATTATTATTATTATTATTATTATTATTATTATTATTATTATTATTATTACAAATAAAATTAATTCGTTGTAATTAACTAATTTTGAAAGAATTAATTCTTTTATATTTATTCAATATTTCCATTTTTAAAACCTATTGCTTGGCTTAAATCTTTTTATGCGTTATTTACATATGCTTAATAGTTATTTTCTATATTTGGATGATTATTTATAAATAATAATTTATTTTAATTGTTTATTTATTATTCTAAATTTTATTAAGTATTAAAAAAATTGCTGTTTATTTATTGATACTTCTTGTCAAATGTATTGCTTCCGAAATTAAATTATTATTAATCAGGATTCACTAATCCTAAATTATATTACGAATAAGGTGCTTAATAATTATAAGAGGATTAAAATTATTATTATTGAAATTATTACTAAAAAGACTAAGATTAATGATATTAAAATTATTAATATTATTATTGTTGTTGCTGCTGTTATTAAGGAAAAGCATAATCTTAATTTTATATTTAATAATTACATTACTATTATTAATTATAATCTTGGAATAAATATTATCTATTTCCATCTACTTGTAAATTATTCTAATTGTAACTGTAGTTCATTAATGATTTATCTTAATATTTACAACTTAAAAGATTATTTTGAGCTTTTTTTTTTAAAAAATGTATAAAATTTATTTTTTTATTTGGAAAAATAAAAAAATGAAAAAAAAAAAAAAAAAAAAAAAAAAATATTATAGTAAATGTATACTAAAAAATTACTCATAGAAAATAAAAAAATATACATAATAATTTTATTTTATTTTTATTTTACTTTTTAATTAATATTTAGATATATTTGAGTCACTTAGTTATATTGGCTTATTTATGCTATCATCTTGTATGTGCAAAAACTCTTATTGATTCATTTGCTTTTATTATTTTTTATTTTTTTAAAAATATATTATTTGTTTTATTTTATTTTTTCCTTTCTTTCTTTCTTTTTTTTTTTTTATTAGGTAAAAATATATATATTTTTAAAAAAAAATAAAAAAATAAAAAAAAAATTTCCTATATTTTTCCTTATTTTATATTTTTTATTGTCTCTAAACTATTTTATATTTAATTAGCACATAAAATATTGATTTTATTAAGAAAGACATTTTTAGTAATTTTATTTATTTATAGTTAAAAAATACATTTATTTTAATTTTAATATAATTTTTAATTTTTTAATTGGTAAAATTTACCCATTTATTTTTGTTGGGGTGGGATATTCTTTTATTTTAATTTAATATAGATTTTTACAATAAATTAAAAAAAAATTCCCATAACCAAAAAATGAATTTATAAATGGGAAATTTTTTATTAATTTCGTTTACATTATTTTTACTAAATACAAATATAATAATAAAAGTAATAATGAATTACTAATTATTTACTAAAATAATTTATATATTTTATTATTGCTTGTATTTAATAAGTTTTATACTGAATTCAATAAACTAAATTATAAAAACTTAAGTTCAAAATTTAATTTAAATTAACGTATATTCTATATTAATTTACATTATGAATTTTCTAAAGTATTATTATTTTTTTACTAAATGATATAATAAAGAGAAAAATATTGAAAAAAAAAAAATATTAATCTAAAAATAATTTATATTAAAATAGTATGTACAAATATAATAGTTAGAGAAATTTCTATTATTTTATTTTACAAATAGATTAAAATGAAAATAATTATTTTTTAAAATTGAAATAATTTAAAAATAAATAAAAAATAACTTTTATATAATACTTAAAGTTTAAAATAAAATATATACAATATTTATATAATAATTTTTTTTACAAAAATATAAAAATTTAAAATTTATTTTTATTAAAATTATTTTTTACTTTTATAACAAATAATTTAATCTTTTAATTTAATAAAAATTTATATCAAAACAGAGAGATTTAATAATTTTAATTTTATTAAATCATTTTTTTTATTTTTTTATAAAATATAAGGATTATAATATTTTTCTTTTTAAAAAAACTAAATAAATAATATATATTATAAATAAATTTTATTTTTAATTTAATTATTCATTAAAAGAAATTTTAAATATAATAAAAAAAGAGAAAAAAAATATATTTTATATTTTTTAAAATCCAAAATAAATATTTTTATTACTTTATTTTTTCTTTTTTAAATGTATACTTCTAACATATTAAAAAGAATAATATATTATTTCGAATAATAAAAATATAATATAAAATATATATCAAAATATTTTTCCATGTTCAGCACCTACAAGTTAACTAACAATTTATGGTTAAACCTAATATTTAATGAAAAAAATTATTAATATAAAAATATACATATAAAAATATACGCATCCTTCAACGCATGTAATCCAATCTCTGAAAGGATACATCTAATTAAAAAAAATGGATATTTTATAAAAAAATATAATAATTATAAATTTAATAAAAAAAATTAATATATAATTCTTTAAAATAAAATAAAATAATGTAATTTTAAAAATTTATAATAAATATTAAATAAAATACGCAGGATTTTTCAGGATCTGCATTAACTAATGATTTCAATTTAATTTCACATCTTTTTAATTTTTATTCCCAATGAATGCAATTAGGTTTGCAATTTTAAATATATAATAATTTAGGATCTTCTCCTCTTTAAATCATAGTTGCAGCTACTTAAGGAAAATCTTTTTAGCTCATTTTTTTTTAATTTGAATATATTTAATTTTATTTTGTAAAATATTAAATTTTTTTTTATTGTAATATTTAATTATAAATGAAAAAATAGTAAATATAAAAAAAAAAAAAAATAATTAAATTAATTATTAATAAAATATAAAAAAAATTAATAAAAATATTAACTAAATAAATATATACATATATATATATATATATATTTTTATATATATATAATATTTTTTTGTATATTTTTTTATATTTCTATACTTATTACATTCATAATAAAATAACATTATATATATTTATATATATCTATAAATTTTTTATATATATATTTAATTTTTATAAATAATTTCCATAATTATATATTTATATTTATTTATTTAAATTATGGATATATCATATTCAGGAAAAGTATTAGCTTTTTAATATAATGATGATTTACTTATTTATAATATTAAAAACTAAAAAAAAAAATTTTTTAATCAAAAATCTTTCCCTTTAATTCCAATATAAAATTGATATCTCTATTATATGATACTTTTATATGTGCTCTAGTATCAGATGGTTCTAATAAGGAATTTCCTGATACAAAAGTGCATATATATGATCTTTAAAATAATTATTTAATTGAAAGTTACGATTTTTATTCATAAATATAAAATATTTAATATTTGAGAGAATATTTATTTGTATAAAATATGAATCGTGTCGTAATATACGATATAGTATAAAAAACACCAATAAAATATATTTAATAAGTCAATTTTTTTTCAATAAATAATAATTATGAAAACCTAATATTTGCATATACAAAATAAGATGATTTTAATAAAGAGTATTTCTATTTAAATTATTTTTGGTTCGGAAATGAAAAAAGTATTTTATTCTATTAAGAATACTCAGAAAAAAATAATTAAATTTAAGGTTTAAATAATTTTTCATAAATATATTCTGTTTAAAAAGAATAAGAATTATTAAATTAAACATAAATAGGATTGAAATAAGAAGATTAAATTTTATAAAAATAAATACAAAAAAATTATACTTCTGCCTAAAAAAACTTTATTGTAGATTAAATAATTATTAGTTTTGATGGAAAATATGTAGCTGTAATAAATTAAAAATAAATGAATATATTCATTTATTATACGTAAAGTGGAAATTTCTTATAAAGTATTTAATTAGATAAAGAAATAGATAATATATCAGATTTTTAATTTAATAATAATAGTAGTATAGTTGCTTTTGTATGTTTTTCAAAATATTCAAATAATGATAATGCTTTATTAAAAGTTTAGAGTTTAGAAAATGAAAATATTTGTAAAAAATATTATTTTGAATTTCCAAAAAATTAACAAACGGGTCCTAAAATAAAGTTTCTAAATAATTAATAAATAAGAATTTATATATTTAATAATTAATTTAAATATTGTGATATTGAATGTTAATTTGAAAATGATTATGATGTTATTTAAAAATTTGATTATTTTAAAATATGATTAAATGATAATTTATTAATATAATATATTTAATGTATTTTAAATAATAATAAATAAAAGTATTCTATTATTTTAATATATAAAATATAATTATATAAAAAAAACTATTTATAGATAATGATAAAAAATAAAAATTAGTATATTATATATTATATATTACATATTATAAATTGAAAATTATCAATATATATATATATGTTTTTTTTAATTTTTTAAAAAAATTTTTACTTTATTTATTTAATTTTTTTAAAATTTTATATTTATTTTTTTAAATGAACTTGGTTTAATATTTTGATATTTTTATTTAATTTGCTGTTTTAAAAGAAGTTAATGATCTTTAAATTCGCTCTAAAATTTAAAATGAATGGAATTATTATAGAGGTTTATTAGAAAATTAACAAAAAGATCCTTTTCGGATTTAAATATATTTAGAAATATTATAAAAAACTAAAGATAAATAGTTTAATTAAGATTTAAACTAAGACACTTTTACTAAAATTATACAAAAATAAAATAATGTCGAAATTAATAATGATTAATTTGAAAATTTATTTAAAGATACTACCGATAATAAAAAAGATGAAGTGATTTTTTTCTTTTATTTTTTTAAAAAAAATATTTAAATATTAGTAACCGAAAATAAAATATACTTTTTAAAGAAATTTAGTAAAACAAAAATTAAATGATATTTTGAATGTATTCAAATAAAATAATGATAAAATAATGTAAAAATTATTTATATTTATAATTATATAAATAAAAAAGTTAATAAACATAATTAATATTACCATAAACATAATTAACGCCTCAAAAGTCTACGAAAAACAGTAATATTACTAATTAAAATAGTAATAATGTTAACTTAAACAGTAATTCTTCATTTTAAGAGCTTTAAAATTAATAAAAAAGAAATGTTTTTAGTGAATAAATTAAATAAAATAGCAATTAAAATTTTAATGCAAATTGAATTCAAGTAAAATAAATTAAGGATTTATTTTATATTAAAATAAAAAAAAAATGAAAAATATTTAAATTAAATATATTTAATGTTAATTTATATAGTTATAATTAATTAAATTTTGTTTATTTTTTTAATTATTATTTTTTCTTTTTATATTTAAAATTTTTTAAAAATATTAGAAAATTTGAATAATTTATATAATATATATCTTTAATTAATTGTGTTTTGCTTTTTTTGTTTTTTAAATTTTTTTTTATTTTTTATATAGAATACATTTTAAAAGTACATGTAATATTTAATCTTGATATTTTTAAAATATATATAGATACATAAATTAAATATTATTTTATTATTATTTTAAAATTTTAAAATTCAATTATTTTACAAGAAAATAAGTAAATATATAAAAATTTAAAGGTTATATAAAATAATAAAAAATAGAAGATATTTTATTATTTTAATTATATTTATTTAAATTATAAAAAAAACATTCTGTAAAATATATATATTAATAAAATAAAAAATGAGTTAATTAAGCTAAATAGAAAAAGAAGAATTTTATTAAAAATTAGAAAACCAATATCATGAAGCATGTTAAGTATTATAAAAGATAATAACAGATCAATATAATTAACTAAATCAAGCAAATAAAATAATAAAAGAGCAAAACTAAAACTTATTATTTTTCTCAGATTAAGATTTATCATAAAAGTAAAAAATAATCGATCAAGAACAAAAAATAGTTGATTTAACCTAAAAAAACGATTATTTATTAAAATAATTAAATGAATTTCAAAATCAATATTAAAGTTTAAGTTAGGAGCATTTAAAATTAATTGAGAAAACAACTTTATTAGATACTCATTTAATTGATGTTTCTAATATTTTATACAAAAATAATTTATTAAAAAAATTAAACAATAAAAGTAGTAGTTTATCATTAAATAGATTAATATAGAAAGAACTAAATACCTTTAAAAGAATAGAACTGAATTTTTTACACAATAAAATTAAAGATGAATAACAAAGATTAAAAATCGAAAAGAATAACGAATAAATAAAAGTTATTAATTAATTTGGAGAAGGTTTTGATAAAATTATTTATTCCTAATAAGAAATGAAACATGATTAATTTTATTTAATAGAATTTAAATTTGAAGCTTCAACATCTTTCTTTAGAGTTGGTCTCATTTAAGATAATTAAATTAATAATAATAATAATTATTTAGAATTAGAAGAAATTAATTATATAGATTCCATTTTTAAGAACTTTTGTTTAAAAGCGATTGATAACGAATAAGATATTATTTTAATTGGAGATTAATCATTAAGTTAATTAAAAAAAGGGCTATTTTATTTAAGGTTTAATATAAGTAAAAATATCTTTTAAATTATTGATAATTATAAAAATTTGAATAGTATATCAGCCTAATTTAAACCTGATATTAATTATAGATTATTTTTCTAATTTAAAAATACAGATGGGTCTTTGGTTATATAAAGAATATTAATTCATGATTAAATTTAATGGGTTAATAAACTTGAATAAAATCCTTCTGATAAAGATGAACTTAAATAATTATTAGAAATATATATATATATATATATATATAATATATATATATATATATATATATATATATATATATATATATATATATAAATATTTCTATATATATAGTTTCATCTATATATTTTTTATTATTTTATTTAACCATATATTTATTTATTATAATAATAATTTTTTTTATAAAATAAAATATAATAATATTTATAACATTTTATTTTTTAATATAATTTTTTTTTCTTCTTTTAAATATTTATAATTATTATTAAACTTCAAACTTATCTTTCTATATTATGTTCAGCTAAAAGTTTTAAAAGCTACTTTGGTTTTCCTTCAGGAATTATATTTTCCACTTCCTCCCATGCAGTTTTTACTAATTAAGCTCCAACTTATCTAGAATAATTTATTGAGTCAGTAGACTTTACAATCTATATAGCTTCATTAATTAAATCTTAATCATTTGTATGCATTCTTAATATTTCAATTAACCTTTTTTTATTTTCTTAACTGCTTTAAGCTAAACAATGAATAACAATTAAAGACATTTTACCCTTAAAAAAATAAAAATATAATATAGATATTATATTAAATATATATTATATATAACTTCATGTATATCTTCACCTAGTTATCCTTTAGTTTTTAAATATTCTTTACCTTCAAGATTAAGAATATCATCTTATATTTAAAAAGCTACTCCTATTTTTTCTGCAAAAGTAGATAAAGCTTTCGATTAATCATGATTTAAACCCAAATATGCACAAACCAATCTACTTGAAAGTCTTGCCAAACATCCCGTTTTATGAGATGTCATTTATAAATATTAGTTATTATCAGGAAATCTACCTTATAATTTATTCATATTATGCCATAAAATATCCCATCCTTATCCTACATGTAGCAAAGTCATTTCTTCAGCATATATTTTTGCAAATTCAAGTTTTTATTTGTCTGTATATCTTAAACTTGTCAAAAGTTTTTAAAAAGGAGCAAAATACATAAAATTACCGGCATTTAAACTTATGTCGACACCATAAATTAAATGAATGCACTCTTTATTTCTTCTAACTAAACTGTTATCTTCAATATCATCTACAATTAAAGATCCATTATGTACTATTTCACATAGACTACAAATTTCTTTTATATCATCTAATTATTTTCCAAATGCTTCAGCAATTAATATACCTAAGGTTTTTTAATTATATAAATTAAAATTCTGATATAAATAAAATGAATTACAAAAATACTTATATAAAAATTTTGTAAAATTAATTAAAATTTAATTTGATATAAATATATAAATTTATATATTTAAATATATATATTTACTTTATTTTTATATTTAAATTATAATTTAATATATATATAAAGTTATTTCTATTTTTTTTAACTTATATTTTAACAAAAATTATATAATTATATTATTATAAAAAAATTTTATTATATTTTTTTTTATTTAATATCTATATAAAAATTATTAATAATATTTAATATTATTTTGATGTATTTTTAATATTAATAAATATATTTTTTTATCAATTTTTATTTAATTACATAATATAGGACGCCATCTTTTTCCTCCTCTTTCTAATAAATCCCATATAGGTTCTGATAATGACTTTTTTTTTTTTTCTAAAAATATTAATATTTTTTACTTTTGTTAATGAAATTAAATCATTATTATTTTTAGAATATTTAAAATTATTAGATAATTCTTATAGATTTAGCTCATTTTTAAATTCTATAGGAATAGTTTAACTTAATATTTAACATTCATTAAATTTTTATCCGTAATTTTAAAATTCTTAATTAAAATCTATGTTATTAATTTTTACATTTTCTTTTTATTTAATATTTTTTCTATTAGTAGATATTTCGCTTTTTTGATTTTATTTATTTAATGTAAGCAATTTATAAATTTTCGAAGCTTATGAAGTTATTACACAAGTTAGTAAACCTATAAAACCAAATTTCAAAATTTATTTAGGGATTTGTATTATTATGTACTTTTCGTTTTAATCCATATATATTTAAATAAAAGATATTTGTTTTAAGATTAAAATATTTTTAATTAAATTTTATGTTTATAAATATAATATTTTTAAATAAATATTAAAATAAAAAATATTTTTTTTTATTTAAATAATTATTTAAAAAATACAACATTTTTTTTTCTTTTTAAATATGTTTAAAAAATATATAATAATATTTAACTCATATTTATTATTAACTAATGAAAATTTAGAATATATATATGTTTTTAATATTTAAAATAATTGATTTTATATTTTTTTCTCTATAATAATTTATTTATTAATTTTATTTCTTTTTCTTAAATATTAACTAAAAATTCTAAATATTTAAATAATAAAGTAAGTTGTCAAGTATTATTTTTATAAAATAATAATATCTATACATTATACACTCAATTATATATACTATTATATTTGATTTTAATAGATAAAAGAATTAGTATTTAGTTTTTTTTTTTTTAAATATAAAATATTTAATATAATTAAAAAATTATATATATTTATATATATATATATATATATTTTAAATAAAAATGATTGATAAAAACTCATTAATAGAATAATTTATAGTCATAGGCTTTGATATAAATTCAGATTGTATAAACAAAATATATAAAAATATATTTTAAAATAATTATAATATATTTAAAATATGAAGAATTTACTTATCAAAACATATTAAACAATAATATAAATACATCTTTTTTAGATATATATCCGTTTGATTTATAACAAATTCCAGAATACCTAGAAAACTTCAAGCTAGTAATTTATAAAAATATATAAAAAAAGATAATCAATATATAATTTTTTTCCTAAAAATAAAAAGTGGTGTTTTCCAAATGGAGTTTAAATATATGATGAAAAATTAGAAAAAATAAATAATATTAATTTATCAAAATCATAATATATAAATATAAACGAAAATGAAAAAATAACAAATATAATGAGCAAAAACTCTCTACATCATTTCATATTAACTGATTAAAATAGTGACAGAAAATATTGTTCAGGACTTTTAATATATGTATAATCATATATATTAATTAAACTTTTTTTATATAATTTTTTTTCTTAAAAAAACTAAAGGAAGAAATATATGTAAGTAAAGAAGCATAAAATAAATAATTAAAATCACATATAACAATATTACAAGAAAAAACCTATACAACTTAAAGTTAATAAGTAAGGCTTTATATTCCAAAAATAATATGTCTAGTATCTTAAAGTCCTGTATTAGAATTCTAAAAATAATTTTTAGCATTTATATATAAATATTGCATTGCAAGTAAGGCCTAAACAAAACCTTAAAGAATTCGAATAGCAAAAGAATTATATGAAAAATATAATAAATTATGTACTGAATATTAACATATAAGTGATGCAAATAATTTGTGGGATGATTTCTTATTTACAGAAACCAAAGATTAATTAAAATTCAAGAAAAAAAACGAACTTAAACTCACAGAAAACTAAGTTATACATTTTTGTATATCTATGAGTTTTCAAATACACCAAATGTATAATATATAGTAAGAAAACAAAGAAATTATTTTTATATTGGGAAAAGAAGAAGTTTTTAGACTTCGTCCAATTTAATAAAATATTGATGGAAAAAATTTTTTTTAATTAAATAATATATCATTTAAACCTTTATTCGAAAACATATCTATTAATAATATAATTAATTTGATTTAATCTATTTTACTTGAAAAGTAAATCATTATTATATCCAATAATCCTAATTAAACTATAAATATTTGTGAATCTATTTTCTAACTTATCTATCCTTTCAAATGGTTGTGTATTTATATACCTTATTTACCTCTAGAATTAATGGAAACTTTATCAGCTATGATGCCTTATATTATTGGTTTAAATAAATGTAATTGGTAATATATTTCTAGTAGAATTGATTTAAAAGACAAAGTTATTATCGATTTAGATTAAGATACTTTTCTTTAATATGATGTATGTAAAATATATATTTATTTTCTTTAATTTAAAAATTATAAACATACATATATATATTAATAATAATATTATATATTTTTTATAATTTTTTTGATATTAAAAAAAAAAAGTTTATTTAAATTCCAGATATTTTAAAATAGTATTTATTTGATAACTTAAGTGAATTATTTATGAAATTTTAAAATGAAAAAAAAATTAACTGGATTGACCATGTTTTTTAATTAAAAAAAATATTTCTCATTTTCATGGTATAAATGATAAATAATATTACTCCCTTTTACCTTTATTCATCTGATTAAGTGAGTTTAGCTGCCAGAGATGTATTCGCATAAGATGATTATATGAAACTTTTTAGTTAAGAAGAAAAACATTTTATGTATGAAGTATGTAAAAATACGATGGTAAAAAAAAAAATTAATAATAATGTGAATATAAATATATTTAATTAATAATAATATAAAATTTATTTAGACTATTATTTTTTTTAAAATTTTATCTAAAAATATTTTAAAATAAATAAAAAATAAAATTATATATTTATGATAATAATTATTAGATTAAATAGAAAAAATATATATAAATAAATTACATATATATTTACAAAAATAAAAAAAAAGCTTATATATATATATATTTTAAAAAAAATAAAAATAAATATATATATATATATATATATATATTATTTATTATTATTAATATATATTATTTAAATATATATATTTTAAAAATATATATATTTTTAATATTTATACAAATTAATATATATATAAAATAAAATTATTAAAAAAAATTCTAACTCATATTTTTTAAAATTTTAAAATATTAAAAATAAAATAAAAAAATATTTTTTTATTATAAAAAAAGTGAGAAGAAAATTTAATTTTTAATAACACTTTAAATATAAAAATTTAAAGATATAAATATATATATGTTTAAAATATAAATATAA